TTATTTATTATTGACAATCACAAATCATCTTATATTCTATTTCATTTAATACTTAATGTTAAACTCACTATTGTTTGGTGTTGTAAAAAACCTGTATGTGAATGGAATAATATCATGTAAATAGAAGTGATTTATCTTGACGTCTGAAGATTGTTTTTTTACAATAAATATTCAATTAAAAGAGACTCTTATTCTGAGAAAATTCTATTAGTTTTTCATACTTTGTTGAATGAACTAGTATCATTTGTTTTGTTTCTTGTAATTGATTTCTCTACTAATAATCTTTAGCTTTTATTTTACTATAACAAGTATAAAATGCTTTTTTTTCTCGAACTATTTTATGAATCTCGAGATGTTGCTATTTTAATGGAAATTATTATAGTAGTATGAAAGAATACATCGTCTCTTTGCTCAGAAGTCATAGATATGGTAATGAAAATATACGATTTTAGATATCGTTGAGCAAAAAAATGTTATGTATTCGAACGTTTTTAGACCAAACCTACTTCTATTGTAATATATGCCAAACCAAAATATAAAATAAAACGATATCGAACAATTGTCAGTGTTTTTTTGTAAGAAAACTCCAAATATATATATCTCAAAATTCAATTTATTTTACATATTGCCTAGAAAATTTTTATGTTCAACTTCGAAACGATTGAACTATAAGAGCGCTCATTAACTTTTCAATTAATTTTTCATCATACCCTACCGACATCTATTTCATCGCTAAAAATTCGTGAGCAATTAAAGTATTCATTTAAACGTCTAATAAATATTTCAAAGTCTAAAATAATTTTCAAAAAGATTCATTCTTAATCTTTTTAACTATATATAAATTCGTTGTGAACAAAACGATAAATGATAACCTCTATGATGTTGTTGATCAACTTATGGCCGACAAGCAGTGACGTCGTGATTTAACGGTGCCCCCTATCCCTATAGATTCAGTGGCTCCACTTCCTTAATTATTTGATTTTATTTATTTGAAATTCATAATAAATAAACAGAGAAAAATTATAATAATGACAAGTGAAATACGTCGTTCAACACGATCTCGATCAAGTTTAAATGTTAAATTTGTTGATGATCCTGATTATGATGAACATACGTTTGAAGACGATCAGGGCGACGATGACAACATTGACGAACTGCCGGTGGCGCGTGTGAAACAAGAGCAGCAGCGACACACTAGTCAAAATAATAATACCAATAGTAGCATTATAAAAAGACGTCGTGGACGGCCCGCTAAACATGAATTATTACATGATAATGATGAAGATTGGCATGTTGAAAATGAAGAAGACTTTTCAACTGTTACATTGAGTCCTCAAGTAAATTCATCTGTTTATGAATTTAGGTAAAGAATATTTTCTTTTTATTGTATCTAATTTGTACTAGTCTGTTGTTTTCTTTTTTGATTGTTCAGTGAAACTTCAAATCGAAAAAGTATTGGTTCAACAGGAAATAATATTTCACGTGATTCAATAAAAACGTCAATTAAAATTCGTCGTGATGAAAAACATTTATGTCCTTATTGGTAAAATAAATTCTATTTTATATTATATATAAATAATTCTTTTTTGTTATTTATTAAGTAATTATTGTACGGGTAAAAAATATCTTCTTCAACGTCATCTTAAATCTCATTCAACTGAACGACCACATAAATGTAATTTAGAAAATAAACAATATATTAATTATAAATCATTTTCTTTAGGTACATACTGTTCAAATACATTTAAAACAACAGCACAATTACAAAATCATGTTAATACACATCTTGGTATTAAACCATTTCAAGTAAAAAAAAGAAAAAAAAAAGTTCTTTTTATGAATATTTTTTATTTTATTAATTCATATTTCTAGTGTAAATTTTGTGAATATAAATTTACAACAAGTGGAGAATTAATTCGTCATGTTCGTTATAAGTAAATTAAGAGCATTTGAATATTAATAATATATACAATGTCACTTAAAATTGATTACACACCTAAACAACAACTTTTTTTTTCTAATATCTCAAAATGATTTCAAAATATAGAGTTACAATTTTCGTCAACATATAATCCTGTTTTCATTGTTTATTTAACTTATAATGCAAAAGTAATTATTGAAATCTCGGACTCATAGTTCTTCACTTATAAACATCGTAGAAAGTTCATTCTTTTTCCTATTGAAAGAGTTTATGCAACATACTCTTTTTAGTCATTTTTATATATGATATATGATCAATTTTAAGCAATATTGAAGCACATCCATTTTAGTACTTCTGGTCTAGCATAGTAAATATATGAGCTGATATTTTAAATCGATAAACTATGAAAATGGAGCTATATTTTGGTGAAAATTGCAATTCTTTATACTGAAATCATTTTGAGATATAAGGTGATCGTTTAGATGTGTAATTAATTTTGAGCATCATTGTACATATGTTTATCTTATTCTTTTAAAGACATACATTGGAAAAACCACATAAATGTGAAGAATGTGGTTATGCAACAGTTGAATTAAGTAAACTTCGTCGGCATATACGAACACATACAGGCGTAGGAATTTTAGTTAATTCTATTGATTGACACATTTTATTGAATTCATTATTAGGAAAAACCATATGCATGTCCGCATTGTTCGTATTGTAGTCCGGATACATTTAAACTTAAACGTCATTTACGTGTTCATACAGGTATAAAAAAGAAACTTTTAATTTTTTGATTCATTATAATGTTCTTTTTTTTAGGCGAACGACCGTATCAATGCACAGTAAGATATCTTGTTTATTTTGTTTATTTGATTTGAATCTAATAATCATTTTCTATTTCATAGGTTTGTAAATTTCGATTTACTCAAAGTAATAGTTTAAAAGCACATATGTTAACACATCAAACAAATGCACAAAAATTTCATTGTACATATTGTCCAACAGTATTAACACGTAAAGCTGATCTTAAACAACATATGATTAAAAAACATGCTAATGGTGAAGATTTTGTAACATGTCTTAAATGTGATCAAGAATTTTCTGATCCGTATGTATTCATTGATATTTTATTTAAAAGACAAAAAAAGAAAATACAAATAATCATTTGTTTTTTTGTTATTGTTGTTGTTACTATATTATTTTAGACATGAATTAAATCAACATAAAAAAATTCATCATGAAAATACGAATAATAATAGTTTTAATGTACCACGTGTTCAACTTACTTGTGCATTATGTACATATAAAACATTTTCACAAAATATGCTTGATGATCATATGAATTCACAACATCGAGGTTAGTAAATTTATTCATTCGATAACAGGCAACGCCTCATACCGAAAGGCACGAATACTTTTCCTTCCTAAATTACAATTAGATTGTGGTAACCATAGACCAAACTAGGATTAGAACATGAAAAAAAGCTTATCCAACATATCTAAAATTAAGAATTACGATTTGAATATTTTCATATATTACAAACAATTATAAGAAGTGATAGAATTCGTTATAGAAAATATTTTACCACTATAATCATCAGTAGTGAAACTTCCAAGGAAGAAAAAAGCCACTTTTGACTAACAAGTTATTATATTCGAGAGTAATAGGAATAATCTTATTAATTCATTATTGAATAATATTGTTATTTATCTATTATTTTTTATTTTTAAAAAACAAAAATTCAAAATTGTTTATTTAATAGAATAAATTCTAAATTTTAGACTATCGAACATTTCAATGTAATGAATGTGGTTTAATGTATGCAACACGTGGTGACCTACGACAACATATTACAAAAGTTCATCGCTGTGGTGTTTATGCAAAAGTTCCTGCTGGTGGTTTATCAATTCGACCACGAACATATTCATCATCGTTAAAAAATTCTCAACGTTCATTATCAACATCATCATTATCACCAATAAAACAACAAATACAACGACGTGAAACAATTTATCGTTGTAGTTTATGTTCAAGTAAATTTACACATATACGTGCTATTGAACGTCATCATTATGATGCACATCATATTGATCCATTTGATGTTGAAGCAATGAAAAATGCTACAATACAATATGAAGAAGATATAGAAGATGAACAACAAGAACAAGAACAATCAGATGCACACATGCAATCAGAAATAGAACAACAAGAAATATATAATAGAGATGAAGATGAACAAATGGCTATTATACAATTTCGTAATCAACATCAAAATGCTGAACAATCACCATTAATTGTCAAAATTGAAAGAGGTTTTTTTTTTTGTTATTTGAATAGTTTGTTTTTTTTCATTGTATATTATACAAATTTTTTTTTTCTACATAGATGGTTATGATAATTTTGAAACTGCTGATGATCTTCTATCAAATAAACCAACACCACGTAGTCGTCAATTACAAAAAACACGTCGAACATTATCAAAAAATTCTTTTGATAATTCATATTATCTTGATTCATCAATAACAAAAAAAGAATTTTTACATAATTCAAATTATGATATGAAAGAACACTATGATGATGATATTGAAATTGATCATGAACAGGAAACGGGTGATACATTTGTTGAAAATATAGCTGATGATGATGATGATGATAATATAATTAATAATGATGATGAAAATATAATTTTTAAATATCGTTCATCAAGTCAAAAATTAACTTCATTTTAAAAACTACTGATTTTTCTTCTCTCAATCTGTTTTTTTTATGTAATACGTGAAAGTGCTTTGTATTGTCTATGAAAAAAAAAATATATATTATCCTACGTCGTTTTTTTTGTCGTCTGTAAATTGTTCGTATTGTGGATAAAAAAACAACATTTGTGAACTATTTTATGTATGAACTTCGTCTTAAAATTGATTTAACAAGGAGAAAAAAATAAGAAGCCTAGTCTCGATATTATTAGTCATCAAGTCAAAGAACAGAACTGAAAAAAAGAAAAACACTTTGTTATTATTTACATAGCTTCAAGGCTATATAATTATATGACTGTATGTTTTTTGTAGTCTATTATCAATGGCAGACAATAAAACTCCTGCAACAAATGCAAAAGGCGAATTCATTCGCAGCGGTTAGAATCTTAATTTTGGAATTCATTTTTTTTTATCAATATTCGCGTTTTCTTATTTTAGTATCAAGTTTTCGTAATTGGATCAAAGATGATCCTTCAGCTGAATATCCAGCAGAAAAAAATCGCTATCATTTATATGTTGCATTAGCATGCCCTTGGGTAAATACGAGTCTGTCTGTCTTGTTTTTGTCAAAGTATTTTTCTTTTGTCATAGGCTCATCGAACACTTACTTTACTAAAATTAAAAGGTCTTGGCCATGTTATATCATATTCAGTTGTTGATAGTTTACTTGAAATGGGAAAAGGTTGTGGCTGGGCATTTGGAGAAAAATATCCTGATCCACATCATCCAACATTTACTCATCTTAAAGATGTTTACAAATTAAATGAGTCAGATTATAATGGGCGTGTTACTGTACCTGTTCTCTTCGATCTTAAAGTAAGAAGAAAAAAAAACAAACACGACTCCATTAACTGAAATTCTAAGTACTGTAAAGATTTAATTAAACATCTGTAGAATTGTCAAAAAAACATATATAGCAAATGAAACATCAAGAAAAATAGTACATGTACAAAAGTTTTAGGGTAGTTATGCTTTCTCTGAATACATTAGGTACTGACGTTTTATATTGTGCAATATACGTTAAATACTAAAAAAAAAAGATCATTTTCAATGTTTGTTAGTATATAGAATTTTGGCTTATTTCATAAGATATAAAGGTTCACAATAAGTAGTGTAATAGTAGGGGTTACTAACTCTTTTCAGATAACATCTAGTAGTAGCGTCATCTAACCAAAAATCCTGGCGTTGCTGCTAACATCTAGTAGCATAATGTCATATACGTAAAAAGGTTTTGAACAATTCTTTGTAAAAGAAAATGTCTCAACGATTTTGCTTACATATGCACTAATCGAACTTTTTATATAGCAATAAATTCTGACTAATGTTTAAGATAAGGGTAAGAAAATTTTTCTCTGTCAGATTACAAATACAAAACTATAAAAAAAAAAAGAATTCTTAAAGATACTTATTTTATTTCTTTTTTCTTTTTTTTAGAGTCAAAAAATAGTTAATAATGAATCATCAGAAATTATTCGCATGCTCAATTCTGAATTTAATAAATTTGCTCGTCATCCAAATTTAGATCTTTATCCTGAATCACTTCGTTCACGTATTGATGAACTTAATGAACAAGTTTATTCGAAATTAAATAATGGTGTATATCGAGCTGGTTTTGCTAAATCTCAAGAAGCATATAATACTGCATTTGAAGATATTTTTTCAATGTTAGATATACTTGAAAATATTCTTTCAAAACAACGTTATCTTATTGATAATAATCAACTAACTGAAGCTGATGTACGTGCATGGACAACATTATTAAGATTTGATCCTGTTTATTTTACACATTTTAAATGTAATAAAAAAATGATTTCAAAAGATTATCCAAATTTATATGGATTTGTACGTGAAATATATCAAATGGATGGAGTAAAAGAAACAGTTAATTTAGATGAAATTAAAAGACATTATTATGCATCACATTTAATGATTAATCCAACAGGAATTATTCCACTTGGACCTGAAATTAATTATGATTTACCGCATGAAAGAGATCGATTTAAATAAAATAAAAAATACAACAACTTGTCTCCTTTGAAATGAATGAAACAACTATTACTTCATAATTGTTGTTTTTTTTTCCATACTATTTTTCAGTCGTTAAACTTTCCTCTATAGTATCTTGTATAGCAAATGTTTCGTATATTTAAAAGTAGATTTTTTTCTTAAATATATTTTTGATTATGTCTAACACTGGATATAACATTGTTTCACAACACTTCATTGTCGACCTTGAATTTATATCATTATATAAACAATTAGAAAACAATAATCAATACTATACATTGTAATATTAGTTTATATTGTATTTTTTAAGCATTTTTAATTCTCATCAATTTGATATTTTATACAAAACATGATGAGAGTAGGAAAGATAATTTCAATTCAAAAATCATATAACAAACTTTTTAGAAAATATTATATGTTGACGAACTGACGAGAGAATTACTCGAATTGTAACTTACCGTTTGATCTCATATTGAGCCCACATGATTTGAATAACTCTTAATTTTATGTTATTAAGAATTTCATATTCACAAATGATACAGTCATTCATCTGACTCATTTATTTAAACCTTTCACAGTGGGGTTAGTTTTAGTGAAAAACTTGTTCATCTTTAATGGTAAAGTGGTTCTTATTACAGTCTGTAGAAAGCTTGTGTGTCTAGAAGTCAAAGTAGTCGTTTCCATCGGTGGAAGTCCCAACGTCTAATGGGTTTTGCCCTTTGCAATATAATTTTTATAAGAAGTATCTGAATATAATGATAGGTCTGAAAACAGAGCGCTACGCATAAGCCAATATTGTATTTTCTGCACTTGTAGCTCGTTTTTGTTTCCTGTTTTGGATCACGAATCATGAGAATGTGATGGTGCCATACTATAGTTCTGGTAGAAGGAAAGAATGGAGAGAGAATGTACAAGTATAAACCCTACAGAACTAAAAAAAACTTACTTTTTTCGAGATTCTTTTTAGGCGAATGGGGTACGGACGTTGAAACTTTCGCATTAAAAGTGCGTGTTTACTGCAAAACTTTCGTCGCTTCCAGTCTATCTCTCATTATAATAGACAGAACTCGTTATGTACGCACATCAATTTGCACTTCGAGTACAATTTGGTACTTGTATCAAAGGAAAAATGTCACCGTCCCATATATGGAATACCCGTCGCAAAAAGGTTAAATGTAACATATTGTCAGATAAATTCAATCTAAGCTCAATGCAACAAAAAAAAATGATTTTCTGGAAAACCAAATCTAGTTCGAAACAATCAATTAACTTACACATGGTAAATTTTTTAAACGCCCCCTGTTCATGTACATATAAGCTGTCTAATAAATTTGATGATTGTATTCTTGTTGAAAAGATTATAAGTTAGAGTTTATCATTTCATTAGTGCTTATTGTATACTATGTCTACATGTAGATGTGTAAATCGATTGACTGCAACATTTTAAAGACATCTTCGTCGCTACTGCGACATAAAAATAGATTGTAGACGTGGATCAGTTTTTTAGGAATATTTATGTCTAGTTTCTTATTATTACATTCTTCACCGTTATTTTCCCTTTTCTTTGTTCATTTCAAAATTTCACGGAACTAAAAAAAAAATATTTTTAAAGAAAAGCATCAAAAACTTTTAACGACTGCCACTGACAAAAGAAAAAATTTACAATAGACTCAGTCGCCGTCGGAGTCAATTAATGCATCGATTTATACCTCTATTTATATGTAACTAGTATAATGCAATTATCTAATATAGTAGGTTTTGTAGAGCAGAAAATTCTCTATGTTAACCGAGTGGAAGGAAACTCGAGAAAAAAAATGCTGAGTCGTTCATGATAAACAATCTTTTTTTTTTGGAACGATTTATTTAGATCGCTCAATTTCATACGTTGTATTTTCTGTCGGATATGATTGATTACCCTAGGGTTTATATGAAATAAAAGAAAAAAAAGAAAGAAAGTCACTTCTTTTATTCTTTTTTTTCCTATTCTTCTTACACATTAACATTTATTTGAAAATCTTATTCGTTGCAGCTGCTACTCGTTTATTCTTTCATTGTCAATTTTAGTTTTTGTTGCTCACTGATGTAATGGCAACATCAATGAATAAAAATATGCAAGAGACAAAATCTACTGTCGGTTTATTATTAGTAATCGGAGAAATTATTTCCAATGAACAACGTGATGAAATATGTATTCATCTTAAACCAGCATTTACAAAAATTAATAATAATAAATATCATGAAATAATTGATGTTTTTAATAATTTAATTCATGAAAATGAATTTCAAACAGGTTTGTCTAAATTGAATTTTATTTTTATTTAACACTTTTGTTTAAAATAGATTCACAATATCGACAAATAACTGATACAGAAAATGGTTCAGTTGCAGGATTTGTTTATTTACCAAGTTATCATACATTATTAAATGTATTCAACGATGTATTTAATACATGTTACCATGTTTGTATTATTTATTGTGGTAAGATTTTTCTTTTTCTTTCGAATTTCTTTGATAAAGAATGATTTTTCTTTTTTATTTTGTTATAGGTCAACAAATTGATTCTAATGGTGCTTTGATTTTATCTGATTCAATATTTACGTGCGATAATTTTTATAGTTTATTCGAAGAAAATTCTTCTTACGTTGTTCAAGACCTTCAAATAATATTACCATTTATTTCAAATCAATGGATAAAATTAGCAAATAATTATTTAGAAAAAAAATTAAAAAAAATTAAAATTAATACTTTATCTGATGAAATTGATCAAGAAAATTCATTTGGACAAATATTTTATGAAAGACTTATTCAAATTTTAACTAAAGATTCAGTTAATTTTGATATTTATACAAAATTAATACCAAGAGATAATTCAGGAACAAGTACGAACGAAAAATAACAAGTGATTGGAGAGTTTTTAGACAAGATATTCGTTCATTTTTGACTTACTAGAAAGTATTTCCGACTAGTCAAAACATATGAGTTAGTACCAAAATATTGTACGGTTAGATGTTTTGTCTCAGTTTTTGTTCAAGAGTAGTGAAGGATTTTTTGAAAGATCTGAAAAATTATTTTTCAGTGGTGAGTCAACAGGTTTTTTGTTTATCCTATAAGTCTGTTTTTGAATATGCTAAAAATTATCGGAGTTGGTATTTTTGTAGAGCGAACACTTCTCTATAAAATGTGATATTAAACTAAGCTGTGTGACTTTTATCCAAGTGAGGCTACAGTCATTTTTTCAAGAACTCATTTTAATGTAAAATGGTTATCGATATTTCCAAAATAAATATTAAAGAAAAACGAAAATAAAGATACCTTGTCAAAAGACAAAACAAAACTTATTAGCGCAGCTTCTTGAGAGCTGAAATATAGAACTCACATATTCCGCACAAGCTAGCAGATAATTTAGTATAAATTTTTTTTTTGCATACAATGAAATATACTTTAAATAAGTCTATATTCAAAAAGAGCACGAAATTCTGGTTCTTACTCATAGCTTTTAGCTCATCGGGAGTACTTTCTAGCAGATCAAAAGTGAACAAAAATCTTGTCTAAAAAAAAGTTTCCGATCGTCAATTAATAATTAAATAAATTAAAACATTTATTTTCTTTTTAGTTGCTTTTGATGAACCAAATCTTTATATATTATATGGACAACAAGGTGAAGCATCTTTATTTGGTGTTCGAGGATTTGTTGTATTAGTTAATGGTGGATTTAGGTAGCATATCTTTTAGCGAAATAACAATATCATTTGTTTTGGAGTATTTTTTGTTTTTGTTTTAGTCGAATTCCTTCTTTTTGGAATTTAATTCGAGGTTTACAAAATATTGATGCATGTATTTTAACACATTTTGATTATGATGTATTTCCTGGTTTACAAACAATTCTACATCGAAAAACAATATCATCACAACATGATAATCCATTATGTAAACCAGATATTGGTGCTATTTTTCTTAATCATACTCAACGAACAAAAATACAATCAGTTGAACATTCATCAAAATCATCATCAAATAGCAAATTATTAATTAATTTAAATGAAAATATTAATGAATTTTTAAATGATATTAAACAATTAAATATCAATACAATTGATTTGGTTAAAAATTCAATGTCTCATAAAACAAATATTGAACCAATTAATCTTTATAAAAAAATTGCATTTGGTTCACTTGATCTTTATATATTACATCCAACTACATCAATATCTGATGATGAAAAAATGCTTACAACTTTACAAAAAGTAAATAAAAAAAATCAATCAAAATGATTTATGAGTTTTTTTTTTTAGATTCCAATTCGTGATCAACAACCATCATCTTCAATAATTCCATTTCATCATTGGTATTCATCATGTTTATTACTTGTTTGGACACCAAGTTCCATATCAAGCAAGGATAGTTTAGTACGAATTTTATATACAGGTGCTTGTCCACAAACACTTGTCTTTGAAGCATTGAATAAAGTTCGACATCTTGAATTTTTGCATGAACCACAACAACAACAACAGCAAAAAACTCACATAAGCAACATTAACACAACAATGTCGACAAATACGAATATAGGTGTTAAACAATCAACAGACAAACCTAAGATTTCTTCTTCAGTAACAGATCGAGTGACATCATCAACAGTTCAAAGTAAAACACCAAAAGTTTTACCACGCTCTATTCCTTCTAAGCCGAAAGTTTCACAAAGTAAAATAATAAAATCTGAAAAACCCCAATCAACACCAGTTACAAGAAAGGTAATCAATCTTGTAAATAACGATTCTCTCAGTATTTTATCAATATTTCTGTCAATATCCATTACTTAGACTCGAAGTTTTTACTAAAAGATTTTTCGTTCAATTCTCTACCAATGCATATAAAATATTTCTGTATAAAAACTAATAGTCAAACTTTCCTAGCTGAAGACTTTACGATATACGCACATTGCATATTTCGTAACATTATTTTATCATTTTCCACCGCCTTGACGAAGATATTGATAAAATACTGAGAGGCCCATTTATTCTGGAACACCAATTATTTTATTGATAAATACTATTGTCTTCTATAAATAGACACCTCCTCTGACAACTAATAGTGCTGCTCGATCAAATAATAAAGACAAAAAGACACAAAAATCTCGTGAAACTACCTCTAAAAGCTCTACTAAACCTGATCAAACGAAAAATCATGTACAAAAGGTAAAACCTCAAGATAATCAACAGCAAAAATTAGATGTTCAAAATAAAGACGAACAAAAATCAGATGTTCAAAATGAAGATCAAGAAAAATTAGATGTTCAAAATGAAGATCAAGAGAAACCAGACGTTCAAAATAAAGATCAAGGGAAATCAGACGTTCAAAATGAAGATCAAGAGAAATCAGACGTTCAAAATAAAGATCAAGAAAAACCAGATGTTCAAAATGAAGATCAAGAGAAATCAGACGTTCAAAATAAAGATCAAGAAAAATTAGATGTTCAAAATGAACATGAACAAAAATTAGAAACACAAAATGATGAAACTGAACGATCGAATGAAATACAAGGCGATCTTTCTTTTCAAAATGACAATGAAGAACAAATACAAGAAAAGAATGAACATGAAGTATCCTCTGTTGAATTGAATGAAAAGAATGAAACATCAATCGATAATCATGAAGATGAAATCCAACAACCAGAATCAGTTTCATTAACAACTGATCATAATGAACGATTTGTTGAAAATCATACTGACTTACCAACAGATGAAATCCAACCTAAGCTAGATCCAAATGATTCAATGACAACAAGTGTTATTGGTGAAACTTCTAACACAAAAAATTCATTTATTATTGAAAAAATTAATGATAATAATAATAATAATAATAATAGCGATGATGAAATGGAAATCATTCATCATGATATATCATCAACAAATCAACATTCAATACCATCTAATGATGAAATTAATCCACAAGGTTTACCAATCGAAAACGATGTTCATTCAATAAAACCAACAATTAAAAAACTAAGCAATACATCGAATCGGTAAAATTTTTCAATGAAAAAAGAAAAACACTTTTTTTGTTCACTTAAACATTCCATTTTAGAACAAATGAACCATCGAAATCAACAAATAATACTAATCAAACATCATCATCACAAAAATCCAAACAAACATCATTATCAAATCCAATATTCAATGTTGATGTTGCCTATATACCATTTCATGGTAATGAACATTATGTTGATAAAGAATTTTTTCGTCGTGTACGTGCTCGTTATTATATTTTAAATGCTGTACAAATAAATCATCTTACACTTGAATCATTAATTGATGGAAAACAACAATGGGAAAATAAAGAACATGCACCAGTAAATATATTATTATTGTTTTAGAAAATATAATCCATTAATATTTCATTAAGGTTACTCTTGTACCAACATTTGATGGTGAACAATTACGACAATTTTTTGTTATGAATAGAAATCGTTTAGCAGAACTTAATATAAATATTCTTCCAGCATCAATTCGTTGTAATGTGCAATATGATAATGAAGGTTCACCATCACAACTTTTACGTTTCAGTTCAAGATATAATACAGATGAATAATAAACATTTTAACTTTTGTCATTGTGCTCTCATCTCTTCACGTAGTGCCGTGTGCGTGTAAAACATATCAATCAGTGTGAAGACGTGACCTAGAGTAAAAATGAATCCTTTGTTTTCTTCCTCTTTTAAACAAATATTTCTGTGGAATTTGTGTTTTTTTTTCGTTTTGTCTATTTGCTATTGATTTAAAGAATTGTTTACAGAAAACAACCAGTTCGACTTTTTATGCATTAGGTGCACATTTTTTTTTTAGTTTATTGGCATATTTGATTTTTTTTCTCTCTTCTTATTATGCATAACATTTATAAATAATAAATGTTTGAATTTTTTTCGTCGGAAAAAAAATGTAAGCATGTCTATCGATTATGTAATGATACAGAATAGGATCTTAGAGGAAGGATTTGTTTGTTGATCTTTCTTCTTGTTGTCCGTATCAAAGATAGAATGAATGGGTTCAGGTTTTTCATAATTTTAAACTGGAACCGAAATTGATTTGAGACACTGAGAATCGAACTAAAATCGAGATCGATTTGAAAAGCTGAGAATCAAATCGATCCCATCTTTGGTGTATACATTTATTCAAGCTTGTGATTTCTTTATTTTCTATACTTTTTGTCGCGTTCATTTCAGATTGATTGTTACTAATCGTTTTCTTATTAGTTACAATAATTCTTTCATTGTTATTATTATTCACTCGTCATTACACATCTTCATCACTCATACTTATCTCATTAATTCGTTCTTCATTTTACACATATTTACTTCATTATTAAATTTCTTGAGTCTTACCTTCAGTTAACAACCTCATCTATTTACATTATTTTCGTTGTATCTTTCTTCTCTTGTAGATTGCCATCACTTAAGCTGTTTCTCTCGCAGAAAAAAAAAATCAATTTTTGTCACAAAACATACACGACATGATTTTTTTAAAAATTTTGCACCTCCTTTTTTGCCCAAATAGTTTGATAGTTTCTGTCAGTATCTTCTTGAAAAATATGCTGTTTTCAGAAAAAACTGGAAATGTTTATCATTTTTTCCCTGTTTATTCTTATTCTTATCATTCGAAGTAATCAAGAGAGATAGACAGTTTAGTATAATTTGTTTTTGAAGTCCAAGTCGCATTTCCGAGATCACCGTTGGTAGGCGAGGATACGAACTCAATAACGTCTTATTTGAACCAATAGAAGCTTTTCATCGAGAATCTTTCTTTACACTCTCTCTCTCGTTGGCAAGACAAGAGACAATTCTAAGGAAAAACCTTAACAATGTCAACAAATAGCGTCATCGATATATGCAGAACGCTTTTTGGGCTAAAATCTTATGTGCAATTCGAAAGAGAATATTTTTTATATTCACTACTGTTCAAATAACCTCGGGTCACTGCGAAATTGCAGATGACATATACAAGTACATATCTTGACATTGTTTCCCTATCTGTTCTGACCGTCTATTAACGCAAAGTTTTTAGTACAAAGGGTTAGTCTCTTGTAATAGACAAACTGATCATGTAACCTTCAAGCTTCTATCCTCCATATGACAGAGAAGAATATGAATATAGTATTTAAAATATTGATTCATTCAGACAATCATTATAGAATTGTTTTTATCTTATATAAAGACCTACTCTTAACCAAAATATAAAATTAAACTATGTTCAACAATTGAATATATTTTCTCTTATACAATTTTGCAAAATGAATAAGTTAATTTGTGATAAATATAACAACTTTCTCTATTTCTTAGTGAACTCCAAGTTGTAAAATACAATATGTTTCTAATAGATTCTTAGTTTTAATGTCCAATTAGATACAACAATTACATATTCGATTAAAAATCATATATAACCATGAAATAGAACATTCACCTACAAAGACATTCGAAGAAATGTATCATCAAATAAACACAGTGACTATTCAAACTATTCTTTTTTTGAGAACTTAAAGAATAGTCTTTCTTATTCAACACAATACAATATTTGACGAATTTTCTACATACAAAAAGAAAAGCGAATTCTCTAAAAAGTTATTATTATCATATGAAACTTCTTTAATTCTAGGCATGCGCTATAGATTATTTGAAATCGAAGTCAGCATGTCTTATATATTTATTGAGTTCTGATGGAAATTTTCAATTTGAAGAAGCTGTACATAAACATTTGTCTCATTATTCTATTCATACGATTGATATGAGATATTTTCAATGTTCAAATGATGTTTGTACATTTCATCAAGTAAAATTAGGTAATGGTCAAAATAAAACAAAAACATTATGTCAATTAATCGATGAAATTAATCAAACAAATTTTAGAATAGATATACTTAAAATTGATATTGAATATGGTGAATATGTAAAACCTGTTTATATTCAACAAATTCTTGTTGTAGGAAAAAAAAAGAAAAGTATAAACTTCTCAATTTCATATTGTTTTATTTTTCAAGAAGTTCAATTTGATCGTGATCGAACAATTGAAACAAATGCTTTATTTTATTTATTTAATTCTCAAAATTATATTATTTATCATCGAGAACTTAATCCAAATTTTCCATATTATGCTTCTGAATATGTTTTTCTTAAATTAAATAGAACATTTTTAGTCATTAATTTAAATGTATACTTTCGTTTTCGAATCATATTACATAATATAACTCGTGCTCAGGCTCTATGACAAGACAGAGGAAAAAACGGAATTTTTCTTTCCAAAAATGTCGAACTTTCTGTAAACATTTTTAACAATTTTTGTACTCTCATGAAAAATATTGACAGAAAGCAGGTTTTAGAACTTTTATCTTTGTCTCTAACAGAAAGTAGTATCAAGACATTTTCTGCCAAAAAAATCTCATAGACCGTTTATAATTTTATCATATCTTGTTTTATATCTGCTAGAAAATTGAATGAAAGGACTTTTCGAAAAAACATTTAGACTATCCACCGAATTTTCAGTGTTTCCTCCCTCCTACGGCATAAAACAATTGAGAATGCTGCTAAGATTTTAAAGCTTCATCGAAATAGAATCAATTTTACATCAAACAAGAAATGCTCTTGTTGTAAACAAAATACATAAATATTAAAACGAACATAGGTTATTTAATAATAATTATGATTAAAACAAAAAACAAGCACTTCAATAATGATTAGGATATACTAGATAAGAAAGTCATACTTAGTCACAATAGATGACGAAAAGTCCAACGTGTTCTATTCTTTAGATAAGGAACATTAGCATGATAAATACTTAAAAAGTTTTTTGAGCATATTTATTCTTTCTCATATTTAAAAAGAAAGACAATAAGAATCGGTGATCTTCGACGTAGATTTTGAGGAGTAGAAGATTAATGATTAATTCTTTGTAAAGAATTATTTTCGGTAAAAATGAATTCAAAATAAACTTTTATCTTCATAAACACTATTTTCATTGACAATCTAGATTCATCCATAGCTTTATAAAGGTGTTCACTAATTTGATTTTGTTCATTGAAAATTTTCATATTGAACACCATCATTTCTATGGTATTTTTGTTTTTCAACAATCGAATAATTTCATAATCCCTATATTTTTCTATCATGTTAAAGAATTTTGTTGTTGTTGTCTTATTCAATAGATGACTATAATAAACATAGATGCCAAGTATAATGAGATTCATGTTATATACTTTTTTGTTTATTTATATTTTTATTTATATGCATCATGATTGCATTGGAAGAAAAAAAACCTACCATTCACTAAGCGGTTTTTTTTATTTTTGCAACAAAACAATGCAAAGCAAAAGGAAAAGAATGATAATAATAATCATAGTTATAGAAACAAAGAAAAGAAAAGAAAATGAACGACAATCATCCATAATGGTCAACTAGCTAACTTTTGAAAATGTCGTATTTATATATATATTTAAATCCATTATGAGAGATGCATAAGAGTCCGCATGATAGATGGTACTTGACATATATCTATTTTTTCATTAATATCTTGTTGAATATCACGAAAAAGTCCTTGAATTAATAAACATTTACTGATTAATGTCGTAAAAGTTCGAACATTTTCAGTTGATCCATAATGTTGTTCTAAAAATATCCATAATTGTTCAACATAAATATTTTGTGCATGAAACACTTGTTGATAATTATTTAATGATGGTTCTTGAAAATTTATCAAATTTGAAAGACCTTTTGAAAAAAGTAATATAACAAGTATTAATTGAATAATTCGTCGATCTATTTCAACAATTGAATGTAATGAACGCATTATTAAAGTACAACGTAAATAAATATCATTTCCGTGTGCTTCACGAATATCACTACCGTATAGAACAGTATCATTTGTAAGAATACCTTCATGATAAATATCATTAATTGGATCATATCTAAGAATATAAATATATATAAATAAAAAGATTTGAATTATTTTTATGTGTGTATGTCTCTTACCCAAGAGAACCATGAAAAAAGAAAATATAAGGTAAATTATTTTTTACAAGATTTACTTTATCAAGATCATTTAAAGCATCAAATTCTGCTAATCGTTTATAAAAACTAATAAGACGTAATGCTGTAGTATTTTTTGTATTAAGTATCTGAAATAAAGCAGTAATTTTTTTTGCTAATGGATATGACCAACCATAACTTGTTGGATCTAATTGAAATCCATCATTAAATGCTGTAACAACATTATCAATAAAATCAATATTTCGCCTAAATAATTTTGATCTTGATGAATATATATTAGTTTTATTAAGTACAACATTATGTAAATCTAAATCATATTTTTCAGTTGAATTTATTGTTTCTTTAAAATTATCTTTGGATAATGATAATTCATTTGTATGAACTAAACGAAGTCGTCTATTTTCTTCAATACGACGTTTTTTATTAAGTTTTTCTTCTTCAGTTAATATCCATTCTTTACGCATACCTATTTAACATATATATTTATTGATAAATATATATACATATATATAAAGAAGAACATCGTACCAACGGAAAAGCATTTTTTTAATCGACACGATTTACAACGACGTCGTGTTTCTAATGTTATTTCACAGGCACCATCACGACGACACTTTAATCGCTCCTTAATAATAAAAATATTTGAATTCATCTTTTCATTTTCTTTTATTTGTCCTATTTACCGCATTAAGAAGAGCATTTCGTCGAAAAAATGCTTTACAAGATTCACATGAAATTGCATCAAAATTATATCCATGTGCTGAACCACGACAAACTATATTTAAAAATAAAATTAATTTATAATAAAACAAAACAACAAAAAAAAAGAAATAGTTATCTATTATTGAGAAGAAACATGATTTCTTTTTTTTTGATATTGAAGATTATTTTAATGTTATCCTTTTGTTTAACAAGGTGTATTAATTGACATGCCATAAATATAAACGGAAAGAATTTTTTTTTTCCATTCTCCTTTAAGGACATTTCTCATTACGAATATTATTGTTATGATTATTTTTATATATTTAAATAATTATCTACATTATTTAGAATAATAAGAGATGAAATTTGTTTTTTTTTTTCATTATTGAAATAAATATGAATTAAAAGATAAAAATAATAATGATTAAATCAAACATAGAAAACATGTTTTCGTTTTAAGATATAATATAAGACTATTAATAGCAATAATAATTTGATTGACATAATCATATGTGTGAATAATAAAAGATAAGCTTTTTTTTTCTGTTTGATCTCAAAAACTGAAAATATTGAAAACATATGAAAATAATTTACCGACGCAAGAAAGATCAGATTTTTTTCGTGGTTGACTATTTGCATTTCTTGTTGCAAAAGGCATTGAAGAATCTGTCGACGTATTGGATGCGTACATCTCTTGTGAAGCACGAAGTCGTCGTTTTCGATTGTGACACACTCCTGATGACGACTATTCTCATATAAACAAAAAAAATCGATTAGATTATACATTAATCTCTATTTATTACAAGAAATTTGTACTTATATTTCTCATAGAAATATTCTATTTCGAAGCAAAAACTACGTATCAAAGAAAAAATCATAGACTCTAGGAAAAATCTTGCTCAATATTTACTCTGAATTCGAACAGTCAAATAAAATTTTCTTTTTATATATTTAAAATATAGACAAATGATTCTTTCTTTTTTCCTTTTCAAGGTTCTTTATAATATTTGCGGTAAAAAATTGGAAACAATAGACAACTTGAGGAGACTATTTTGTCCAGCTGTTTCAGCATCCTTGGCATATCTATTGCTTATTATTCAATAACATTCTTTCATCATAGTTATTGTTCAGATTTAGTTGATCGACAGCTGGCAGTAGATTTTTAGTTTTTCATTCTAGGAATTTATTATCTTCATGATCATTATATTTTTTAAAAATAACCTCGTTTACGATTCATTGTATATAAATAAGTCTCTATAAAGATATAGCTATGTAACAAGTGAAAAACTATCGTCTGATTTGACGCGTGATTTTTTTCAACAACAATGTTCACGCCTACATAAGAACATAAATAAACAAGAGAAGTATTATAAAAAGTACATATCAAATGAATCGTACAATTTAATCATTTTGATGAAAGAAAAAGAAAAAGGTGGATCTTTGTCAATATTGCTTTTTTCGTTAAAGTAACAAAATGATCATGGTAAAAAGTATCTTTAAAATTTTTCTTCACAAATAATGATTTCAAAAAAAACCTGTTTCGATAGAGCAAGATATGACAGTTAGTCTTTTTTGTCTCGATTATTTTTATTCTCAATTATTCTTACTTACGTTCCCTTCTTTATTCGCCATCGTGAAAGGTTGATGTTGTTTCTATGTGTATGTGTGTGTGTGCATTCGCACGCATACAAGGATACCTCCTGTGTTAGATGTACGAAGAGAGCACAAACAGAGACGACGAAAAAGAAGAAAGAAAAAGAAAGAAAGAAAAAAACAAAACCGGTTACCGAACGACATCAAGAATAACAGCTAAGGAGGAGAAAAGAGCTGCAATCAAAGAACATTGACTAAGAATCGTAAGGTCACTGGGTGCCGAACAAAAGTACTCTTAAATTTCCATTCTTTTTTAGAATTTTACCATCGAATTCGAATAGTTTAACACTTTTATAGACCATATGGTTTACTATTTTTTTTTCTTCTTGCTTGTCCTACATTATATACAACAGAAAAAAAAAAATTATATATCTCAAAAGGGCATAGGTACTTTCGCAAAAGTGCACTTTATGTACTAAGGACAAATCATAAATTTCTAGATTCTGTGTTTAACCTTATCTAAAATATAATGTACTGTTTGGAAATAATTGAACGAGAGGTGAAGGATACATACAAATACTTACATACAAGTGGTCTAATTCTTGTCGAAATAAGAATAATACAGAACGAATAAAAGTTACTTATGCGTATATGCGAAGATAAACGGTAGTGCGCCTTGTTGTTTATCTTTTTAATATAGTAGATGACTACAGATGCTGTCGAAACGTAACTGGTAACAAAAACGACTAATAATAATAATAAAAATTGAATAAATCTTTATGTTCGACATGTGTGAATTTTCGACTAAAAATATAAGTGATATTTTACATTACAAAATAAATAACAATACAAATTGTCGTTTTAGGTTCTTTACTCAATTAATAGAATCTAAAAATACTAACTACTAGTCTTATAATATAGCTAACAGAT